CACTCTTTCTCGTTATCAAGGAATGTAGGAATCCACTATGTGAAATAAATACAACAGACAAGTTTTTACTCCCGCCAAGTCCAGAGACTAATAATATGCACATTTTTAAGGTGATTCACTTGCTACTGGGTTTTAAGTCAAAGACAACACACTCCTCGGGGAAGAAACCTACATCCTTGAAAATTCTTCTTGAGGCTCTGCCACTATAATAAAAAGTTCTTTCCTCTCCACAGTGGGAACAGCCTGCTTCTCAAAACTGCAAGAGATAGTGGATTTAACCAACCTGACTTTGATGCAGATTGAACAGGAAAAAAAAACTTCAGTATATGTAAAATGCTGCAGACTCCTGAAAACTCAATAAGAATAACTGAAAAATATTCTATGATTTTCCTCAAGTTTTCTGCTGTTAAAATGCTGTCTTTATCAATGGATACCATCAACAAAATGAAAAGATGACCCGAATTGAAAGAAAACATTTGCAAATCATATATCTGATAAGGGACTTGGATTTAGAATACATAATGAATTATTATAACTCAATAATAAAAAGACAAATAACCCATTTTTTTTAATAGGCAAAGGATTTGAACAGACACTTCTCCAAAGAAGACATATAACTGGTCGATGAGCATATACAAAGATGCTAATCATCCACCATCAAAGAAATGCAGTTCAAAACCACAGGGAGACGGCACTAGGACAACAAAAGGGTGACAAGTGTTGGTGAGAACGTGCAGGAATTGGAATTCCCATACATTACTGTGGGGAATGTAAAATGATGTAGCTGCTGTGGAAAACAGCTGGCAGTTCTTCAAAGGTTAAACAGACTTACCACATAACGCATCAATTCCACAACTAGTTATATACCCAAGAGAAATGAAAACACGTGTCCACACAAAAATTTGTAATAGCCAAAAAGTGAAAGCAACCCATATGTCCAGCAACTGATTAATGGATAAATAAGATGCTATACACATACAATGCAATACCATTTAGCCATAAGAAGGAATGAGCTACTGATACATACTACAACATGGACGAACCTTGAAAACATTACGCTAACACAAAGAAGGCAGTTTTAAAGAACCAACTATTTTATGATCCATTTATGTACAATGTCCAAAACAGGCAAGTCTATAGGGCTATTTAGATTGCCTGGAGCTGAGGGGGAGTGAAGGGAAATGTTGACTGCTAATGGGTACAAGTTTCCTCTTCAGGATGATAAAAATGTTCTCAAATGTAATGATGGTTTCATGACTCTAGTGAACACACTAAAAACCACTAAATTGTATACTTTAAACAAATTGTAAAGCAAGTGAATTATATCTCAGTAAAGCTGTTATATCATTTTTCAAAACGAAATACTTTACTACTAGTAAGAAATCATCTGCATTTCATGAAATAAAAGACTATTCCCCACAGATAAACAGTGCTCCACTATGAAATGGTATGACTTTGAGGAGGGGCAGGGCGGGGAAGAGGGTAAGGG